ATATCATTTAATTAACAATTGCTCTCCCGGTATCGGAATAAAACAATGGTGTTTTTGAATGGCTGGAATAGCTTTGGCACTATCAAATCTCAGGTAAAAATTGTGTACCTTCTCGACAGTTGTGCTGGGTAGTGAGTGACCTGTGTTCGCAATTGGTGAAGCAAACCCTCCTTTAATTTTTCTCAATCTTTTCGCTCTTGACGCCATGTATCTGGTAGTTTCAAATTCAGAAGCAATTTTCCGTGCACTCCACGACTGTGGATGAACCGTCAAGATTTGCAGGCGCTCACGGTAGTTTTTCAGATCTTTGAATTTCTGCTTCAAACCATCCAACATTTCTTCTAATTCTATTTCTCTCGCAGATCGATACTCGTCGATTGATAGGCCGTAATCATCAAGATGGAAAGATCGACCTGATCTCAGAGAACTGTTCATCACATCCAGACTTGGGTCATATGTTTCGGCTTGGAGCATTGATATATCGGGTGGAGTTTCCGAACGCTGAAGATGTGTAGCATTGAGTTTAACCGTGGGGACAGATGGAGGAATGACATAAGTTGGAGCTCTCGTTCGGTATTGACCACAGATTTTCGCAGACAATGGTAAAAAAGGAAATTTCTCGTATAGTGTCAAGGAAATCGGACGTAAATTACAACCGAGGTGTCTCTTCTCACCAGGAGTCCGCATTGGATTCGCATATCTATCACTCCGCGGCATTCTATAAAATCCGAAGATGTCAATTCCGAGACTAAAGATCATTTCTATATAATCAACGTGAAAATTCCTTACCTCATTGCATGAATAGAATAAGATAGGTGCTCGGTAATCTATCCACACGGAATCGTATGGTGATAGAAAGTCAATCGAGAAATTGAGGTTTTTTTTCTAGAATTGAAGCCTTTGAACCGACTGATGATAATAAATCAATTAATTGATTCCACTTGTTTCTTTCTCTCATTTATTTGATCATAATTTAGCAAACTTCCGATGATGATAATGTTCAATTCAACTATCTACCCTTCCAGTAAAAATTTCGACGAAAATTTTTTTTTCGGCTCACTCTTTCTCCGTTACATGATGGTGGAGTCTTATGTCACCATATATGAACGAAGAATAATGGTTGACAGACTCATTTCTTTTAAAAAAACCGATGGATCTCCCCTAAAAACTGAATAACCTAAAAATTAAAAAAAAAAAATTTCCGGTGCATTGCTTTGCTTTTCCACTATGGTGTATTCTTTTCATATCATATAAGGACATCCTCTATCATGAAAAAATATTTCGATCGAATATCGAGCGGCCATAGAGTGAAAAAAAAATGAAAATGCGAAAAATTCTCAAAAAACAGGTCTAGGAATCTCTTGACGGCTCTGAAGTACTCTTTATCTTGAAGTACGAGAAAAAACGACAATTTTCTTATCAAAATCGGATGCTCCATTCAGAAGTAATGATTTTTTGAAAATTTCAAGTTTCATAATGATTATCTCAGAAACAAAAAGTGGCAGGGTAATGAAATTTTGCATGATCACTCTCTATATGTAGTAGTTCAAAGTGCACCTACTCAATGATTTCTCCCAGACAAAAAAAAATCCGGTGTGGCTGAGTTGACATGGAATGTTCCATATAGCGATAGTCTAGTAACGCCCTCCAGACATCCAGGGGTCGCGGTTTCACCCATAACCGGTATGCCTTCGGTCTATCATAGGTCTGTGATTCTTCTCATCTAGTCCCGGCTTCTTCAGCCGCTTCTAGATGTCGCTTACTGTCTCTCTTCAACAATTTCAGAGTCCACATCTCTTTTTAAGAAAATCTCTTTACATACCTCCCTCCTTAAGAGAGGTTTCGACCTGAAACCTAGACGTTTCAAGCCAAAAATCCTCCAGGAGTTACTACTCTTCACCTTCCGACTCTTCGGTCGGGGGGTCTTCCAAAGCTTCCCTATAGGGCTTCATGTCAACTATAGCGGTGTCTTTCGTATTACGACCCGTCCTATCAGAAACCTGGTAAAAGTTTCTGGAGTGCTTCTTGGTCACCACGAAAAGTCCATTGAACGGTTTGTTCAAGGACGCTGAACGATGTTTTACAGCACTCGACAGCTCGTGGCCGCGAACTAGGACTATTTCGCCGACCTTGAATTCACCTTTTCTTCGGCGCAAGTTATAACTTTGTGTCTGTCGATCATTAGCTTCCGCCAATGCATGCCTAAAGGCTAATCTCAGGGTGTCATGACGCTTCATGTGCTCGACCCAGGCCTCGGTCTAGTTTCTTCAATTTCGACATCTCCTTCCAGCTTTCGTCGCAGCGAGTTTGCTAGCTCGGGCTCTCGCCCGAGATTTACGAAAGCCGGGGTTGCCTTCAGGGAACTGTGTTGGGCTGTATTATATGCAAAACGAAATGCATCCAGATAACAGTCCCATTCACTGTGATCCTGATCCACGTACGCTCGTATCATAGCTTTTAGCGAACGGTTCACTCTTTCAGTGAGGTTCGCTTGCGGTTGATACGGCGGCGTTGTTCAGTGCTTCATATTGGTTGAAGCAGCCGAATCTCTCAAGTCCTTATTTACGAACTCGGTCCCATTATCGGTCAGCAATTCTCGTGAAGCTCCCCATCGATAAATAATGGTTTCCTCCAATGCTTTCCGTATCGTCACACCGGTTGCTTTGCGCAACGGTCGCACTTCTATCCACTTCATAAAGAAGTCTTGGATAACTAGGATATATTGGTGTCCTGCTTTACTCCGCGTAAAGGGACCCTTGATATCCGCCGATATTCTCGACCAGGGTTTCTCGATTGCGCGAGGTCCCATCTGGCCTATCGGGGCTTGTTGTTGGACTTTGCAGCGCTGACATTCTTGACACGCACTAACGTACGTCATCACGTCCTCAAACATCGCTGGCCAATAATATTGATTGGCCAAGCGTTGGCAGGTCTTATCAACACCTTGGTTTCCTGCCTGCAGCAAATCGTGGCATTCGTGTATAGCGGCACGTCTCATTTCACGAGGGAGAACTAATTTCCAATCGTCCAAGTCTTGGTTGTCCACCGAGGCAATTGTTTTCGTCCTCAGGTGGTACAACAGTCCTTCGGAAATTTTCCATGTAGGATATTTCTCTGGGATTCTCTCTACGTCTCGACAGCATCGGAGATACCCGATGAGTAAATCCGTCGCTCCTTCCGGTGAGCGTGAAGCGCATCCTTCTCGTGTATGATTTTGTAATCATACTCTAACAACCGGAGGTTCCATCTCCCTAGCCTTCCAGCCGGGTCTTTCATATTATGAAGCCACCTTAAGGCGCTATGGTCCGTTATCACTGTGAAGGGATATCCCTCCAAGTAACAACGGAACTTCATAATCGCCCACACGACGGCCAAACATTCCTGCTCAGTCACCGTGTATTTTGATTCAGGGCCCGTTAATGAGCGACTAGCGTAAGCTATAACTCGCTCTTATTCATCCTGTACTTGGGTGAGTACAGCACCAAGTCCAACACTGCTCGCATCCATTTGTAGAGTAAACGTCAGTGAAAAATTGGGACAAGCAAGAATTGGAGCCAACGTTAAGTGCTTTTTCAGCGCTTCGAAGGCTTCCTGCTGCTCTTCATTCCATAACCACGGCTGATTCTTCTTGGTCAGAAGTGTCAGCGGTTGAGATATGGTTGCAAAGTCGGGTATAAATCGTCTATACCAGGAGGCCATTCCCAGAAAACGGCGAATCTGTTTCAGTTTCTTCGGCACGGAAAAATCCACAACGGGCGATGTTTTCTCGGGGTCGACCTGCAGCCCTTGGCTGTTCACGACGAAGCCGGGGTATTTCACCTCGGAACGACAGAAAACACTCTTCTCTCGATTTATTGTGAGACCATGATCTCTGAACTTATCGAGAACCTTTCCCAACGACGTGAGGTGTTCCTCAAATGTCCTTGAGACGATAATCATATCGTCTAAGTACACAAACACGTGTGGATACATCTCTGGACCGATCAATTTGCCCAGGGCTCTTTGGAAGGTAGCGGGCGCATTTGTCATTCCGTACGGCATGCGTTCGAACTGGAAAAACCCTCTTCCTGGCACCGTGAATTCAGTGATCTCTTTCGAGTCCTCGGCTAACGGTATTTGCCAATACGCCGCACTCAAGTCGAGTGTCGTGATATAATTGCCCTCTTGTAACTCATCAAAGATATCGGTCATATTTGCAACTGAGTAAGCATCCTTTTTCGTTACTTCATTTACCCTGCGGAAATCGATACAAAACCGATATTTTCCGCTGGCTTTCTTAACCATCACTACGGGAGTATTCCAGTCGCTTTTGGATGGCTTCATTACACTCCATCTCGGAGTATCTCATCTCCTTCCTTCCACATTGATAGTTTAATATGTTCAGACACGACCGTGACTCTTTGTCGGATAGGTTCGTGCTCTTCCACGTCAATCTTGTGGGGTGGTAGCTTGAAAATCGGTGGACTTCTATCATGCACGGGAATTTTTTCATCCAGGAGTCTTTGGAGTTGGCTATTTTGCTCCTCTCCAGGTACTTTCAAGCCGTTGCACACGGTTATGTGGCAGGCTCGCTCCACTGAGACAAACTTGAATGTTTCGTCGGGTTTGTCTCTAAAGAACCAGGATTGGTCAAAAAAATCAATAACCATCCGTGCTTCTCTCAAAAAGTCTAATTCCAGTATGAAATCCTCGGACAGCGAAGCCATCCAAAGAATTTCAATCATGACGGGTCTCCCCCCCAATACCAGAGGTATTTTTGAGGCCTCCTTTACCACCTCTAGTTGACTATTCGCCACTAGAACTCTTCTCGGTGGTATTCTCCTCGCACTAATAACTAGCTCGCTCAGCAGCTCGATCCCCGCTTTTCCAGCAAAGGTACGAGATGCCCCTGAGTCTACTAGAGTGCGTATTTTCCTCCCGTGAATTTCGATATTCACGTGAAAGGCAAATTGAAGGACGAAAAGGCGACGTTTATCAAAAGGCGACGAAAGAAGGCTTGCCTTCTTTCGTCGCCTGATTGATAAACTCCAGATCAGAGCTCAGTTCCGGCGATGACAATGCAATGGGGTCCGTCAGGGATTCTCGAGAGGGTTTTTCCACTTTCTCCTCCTCTCGAGACTCCTCTTCCACTGCTGCGGGCATTTCTACTCTCTGTACAGCAGTTTCTTCGACCTCTGGACTATGATTCTGCCCTGAAATTTTCCTTCCTACAGTTTCTGAGGAATTTTCCACCTCTTCCACTGGGTTTCTCTGTTCAACCTCTGTCTTCACGACAGAAAAGAGTTTTCTGGGAGCTCTGCAGCTCCTTTTATACCTTATTGTCAAGAGTGGGGGGTCCTCCTCACTCTTGTGACACATCCGAGTGGGTGGCACCCCTTCTCAGGGTCCGTAGCGCTCTCTGGAGACGCTAGGGAATTCCACTTTTGCAGTAAAACCCCTAGTTTATCTTTAGAATCACCCAATGAGTTATTTAATTGAAAGACTCACTGTTTCAGGGTCAATTTCCGGAGCTGCCCCATATAATTTCGTCGTTTCGGACGATTCGGGGTGTTTTGTGAGGTATTCTATGCCTTTTCGTTCATTGTTCCCTCTTTTCCTACTCATTTATTGAGTTTTTATTCTTTTCTGGGAGAATCTCTCCAAGTTCCCGTGTTTCGCGGTACTTTCGAATATTTTTCCTTTGAAACGATCCTTATCCGACGTTTTCACCAGTATTTCTACTGAGGTGGCGCCATCTAGCGGCATTTTTACCACCAGCCTGTAATTTCCCGTGGTCGGCAAAGAAGGGTTCTACTTTACCGACCGCTGTCAAACTGTGGTGGGTTACCGACAGTTTGTTACTTCTCGGGGAGGCATTAGATGGCGCCTACTACCCATTGTTTCCACTGCGGCACGCCACCGACAGTCCTACTTTTCGGGGAGGTGCTAGCTGACGCCTATTACCCGACTTGCTATTTGGATATTTTTGTTTTTTGCGCCTTTTGCCCCTTTCTTCGCTCATTTTGTGCATTTCGGCACAGTTGAGCGTACTTACACCCCTGAGAGTGAGGAATTCTCCGAATCTCGGTGCAGATCCGCATTCCCGTTGTTCAGTCTTAAAAACAATTATGGAGTAAAAAAAAACAACACACAAAAAAAGTTTCTCCCAAAAAAAATGACTGGGGAGGTATGTCCGCCTTTGCAGGTGGAATCAGTCTCCCTCCATCACCACCTCCAGAGAGGTCGTTTCCTTCTCCAGGGCGAGCTTTTCAGCTCGCTCTTGAGCCCTTCTCACCTTTCTCCTCAGCCTCGAGGGTGGCAGGCTTGTGTGGCCATGCACCGCCCGATTCTCCACCCTTTCAGGTCGACGAGGGCGACTTTCTCCGACCGTTTCGCCTCTGGCCACGTAGCGGGGGGCAAGGCGTCTTTCGGCCCTCCTTCTCTGTTCTTCGGGGCGTTTCTCCGCCCCTTCTTCCGCCTTCCGTTGGTGCCTCAGCAACTTCAGGGTGTCTTTTGGACATTCTGCCCATAATGAGGTATCCAAGGGCCTTTCGCCCTGTACTTTTCCGTGCAAGCAAGGCAATACTCCTCATTGCACGGAATTCCGCACGTTCTGCAGTGCGGTCTCCTCGGCGCAGGGCAATCTCTGACCTTCTGGCCCTCCCTGTGACAATTCCAAAACAGCCGTGCTGGAACGGGGATTGGCAGGGTTTCTCTCCTCTTCTCCTCCCTGTCGGAGAAGTCATCGACGAGAGGCGACTCAGTGTCCATCCTCTCGCTTTCAGGGGCCTTGCGTTTGGGGATTTTCACCCCAACCGCCCCTGAGGTTCCCTCGCCCCCGTGCTCCAGCATGGCGAGGTGAATTTCCTTCGCCTCTGCCTCCTGGTGTTCTTTCCTAGGGCTTTTCAGCCATAGGGTTCTTCCTCCCTTTCTTCCTCTCTTCTTAGGGAGGGCACCCTGGGCTCTGGAGGTCTCCTCCTTGGCCTTCGGGTCCAGCACTGCTGCTGTGGGGGTCTCCTTCCTCTGGGGAGGCTTAACGGGAGTTTTTCGCCCCTTTGTCCTCTCCCAGGGACCAGAGGATTTCGCCTCTGTCTCCTCGCGTTTCCCCTTGGCTTCCGAGGAAGCCTTCCTCACCTTGGGGACCAGGGTTGTGGCTGCAGGGGTGCTCCCTTCCTGGGCCGACCTCTCACGGGATTTGTGCCCGTTTTTGGTGACCCACGCATACGAGGACTTTTCGTCCTCGGCTTCCACCTTCTCCTGGGCCGACGATGGCAACGATGCCAACGTAGAGGGCCCCGCGCTGAATGACGACAATTGGTCTAGAACTGCTGTCAGCCACCCGGGGTCCTCAGCCAGCATGGCTGCCAGGCTCCTCACCACCTCGGCCCTCTTCTCCTCAGCCGTCCTCTCCACAGGTTCTTTCGCCTGAGGCTGCACCGTTGTTGGGGATAACACCGTGGTGGATACCTCCATCTGGGACACCACGTCCATGGGCTCATATTCTGGGGAAGCAATTTCACCTTCCTCATCCTCGTCCCCATAGAGCAGAGCCATATCGGCTCGCTCCTCCTCCGTAAACGGCCGATCTATTAACGAAAGAACCGCTAAATCCAATGTGGAACTTTCATCAGTGCCTTGCGGCACTGGTGATTCCTCTACACACATTTCCTCCCGGATTTTCGCCTGGAGGTTTTCCATGGACTCTTTCGAGCCCGACTTACCCTGCTGGGCTTCCTCGGCGGTTCGCAGCACCTTATCCACCAGTTGTTCCAGGGTTTTATCCATTTGTCCGCTCGGGGTTATTCACCACGCGCACTTTTGGTCTCACAAGGGAGCGTCGAAAATTTCTCACGTCCTGTCGCTTTCGCAGCCAGAACGGAAAAGGACGCTTCCCGCGGTGATTATCCTCAATTCGACAGGTGTTGGGGGTGAGGGGATTAAGGCGCGTATCGATTAGATTAATCGCCGCCGGTGGTCCCACCTAGTGACCTGAACTTCGACCTAAATTTACATATTTACCGCTCCTTTTGAACACCCTTGATTGATATCAATCAGAGGTGTCAATTTCGTCTTTTCGCGCGACTTGTCCGTCACGTGGCTCAACCTCGCGGGCGGAAACCGTACTTCCGACACCTGCCGGCGGTAATGCTATTCTTTTCAGAATAGTCTTCTTTACCGGGCATCGGTAAATGCGTCTTTCAGCATTTTTGCACATTTATGAGAGGAAAATTCAATTTTGCAGAATTTTCACCGTTTTTCACTACCTTTCTTCGATTTTTCGGTCAAAGAAGGGAAATATCCCGCACCCGAGACCATCCTCCCCCGGGTGGCGAGAAGAACAGCACTCAGAGCAGCCGGAATTACCCCTCCCAAGCAAAAAATCGATACGTTGGAATTTTTCGTCGGGGAAAAATAAACTCGTCTTTTCAAGACCATCTCCCCCGGGTGTCGAGGAGACAAAACCTCGAGTTTCTGAAAAAATCTCCCCACGACAAAAATTTCGTGCATGTCGAATTCTATTTTTTCCCTTTCAAAGAATAAATAAAATTCGTTACTTTCGACGAAAATCAATTCTCGATTTTCCTCGCATTATCTATACGATAATTTCTACTTACCCATACTTTCAGGGTTTCCTTTCTACTCCATTGGCGTGGCCCCATGTCGGGCGCCATTTGGTAAGGATATTTTCTCGGGTTGTTCACCTAGGAAAAATCCAAACTACTTTTTAAGCCTTCTCTATCGCTCAATAATTGGGCGCCAGCCGAACCTTCACGGGAGGTTTGACGAAAACCCGAACACCATACCCGAACAACATACTTTAGCCTGAACAATATGATTTATTGAGTAAAATTCATACTTTGGAGTAAAATAGTAACAATTTTGCCCCGAACAACTAAAGTAAGTATTATTTATGATAATTTTCATGTCAACAGATATCTAATGTGGTAAAATAACCATCTTATAAGTGATTCAGTCTACACAAGACCGTTGCAGAGCAGTTATATAATGCCGATTCTGGCACAACGTTTTTGGCGTCGACCTGGTCGTTGGGGCCCAGTAGGGGGGTCAGATAAAAGTGGGTGGGTGAGTGGTTGATTAATTCGCGGGGTCGCGGTTTAATTCGCGGTTTGATTCGCGTGGTTACAGTTTAATTCGCGGTTTGATTAATTAATTCCCGATTTTTTCCCTCGAACTGATAAAGGGGTTATTTAATTCGCTGGTTAATCAATTTAATTCGCGGTTTTGCGTTACAAAGGACCTTCTCGGTGACCTAGTCAATCCACCTCGCGAGGGGGTGAGTGAAGGGGTTAATTATTTCGCAGCTGTAGAAACCATAGAAGGGGCTCCTCTTTTTCTTCAAATATTGACACCTGGCTCCACTTGACATGTCTGAACTTGAGTTTTCCCGTACTTTCCTGTTTGCCGCGCCCATTTGTGGGAAATTATTGTTAATAATGATGTCACTATATAAATATTTATTTTTAAAAAACATTTTCCTGACACGTCCGAACTTGAGTTTTCCGGTACTTTCTCATCTGCCGTCCCCCTTCGTATGAAATTGCTGTTGATAACGATATCAATATATGAATATTTATTTTAAAAAGAAGGGGAGGGAGTATGTATATATGCAAAGAATTTTCGCCTGAACTTAAGATTATCAGTCCTTTGATGGTTACCGCTCGTAGAAACAAACGTTATTAATAATAATGTAAAAAATTATTTATTGAAAAAAGAAAGGGTCAAGAGTGGGGGATTTGTGTATATAAACGAAAAAACTCCCACACATCATCAGTTCATCTTGTCGCTCTCCATGAAGGACAACTTCAAACGACGGGAATTAAAGAAACGTTTAGACCTTCTCCTGAAAAACATTCAAAAAATGAAAACAAGTTATACAGTACCGAAGTGACATCAAAATACTCTGCTCGAATCTGCAGAAGACTCGAATTTAAGCTCAATTATCATACCCACGTAAAAACAAAAAAATCATTATGGATTTCAACAAAATCAACATTCCCTAGTGGAAAAACCTAAGGCAGAGGCGTAGCACGCCTAATCAGAATTTCGGGTCAGACTTGATCAGTTTCTGATCAAGACCTGAACAGAATTTCCACTCGGGTATGAGTCAATTTGAGAGTGGAATTCGTAAGTGTCCTGGTAGC